GGCCTAAAGGGCCGCTGGAAAATTTTCGGTTCCGAATAGCAGTGCGACCCCTCGTTTGGTAGTAAACCAGGGTCGCTGAAGCCGTTTTTGAAAAAATTTTTAGCCCAAAGGGCCGGTGGAAAATTTTCGGTTCCGAATAGCAGTGCGACCACTCGTTTGGTAGTAAACCAGGGTCACTGAAGCCGGTTGTGGCAAGATTTTTGCGCTTCGAGCGATTTTGCTAAAGTTTTGCCCGGTAGTAGCCCAGAAACACCGCCCCAATGGGAAAGGGAGCCAAACGCCAGTCCCGTCAGGCTGATCCAGAATCTCCGGAAGTCGAGAACGTAATTTCTGACCCTGTACCTGATACCGACGCTCGCGTTGGTTGGGTTTACCTTTTAAAATCTGCCGAACTGGAGGCAGAATTAAGTAAGTTCGATTTAGATACGACAGGTACCCGAGTCGACAAACGAAAACGACTAATACAATTTCTCCGGACAGGAAAAAGTAATTCCTTGAGAACTGTCGATCAAAATGAATCGTTTAACTTGCTAGCCCATTCCTCCCCGGCAAAGGTTGTGACCCCTGCCCCAGTGTATACGTCAGCCCCGATAAATGCGTCCTCGACGGTGACATGGACAGCCCCGACCTTGGCAACCCCTCTCGCGATATCCCCGCGGCCAGTAACAACGCCGACCATAACCGAAGATATTGCCCACCTTGCAATATCCCCGCCGATGGCTGCAACGCCAAACACCGCCACATATATAGCCCGCCAGGTTTCCCCGTCACCGACACCAATGTCCAATGAACCCGGAAGTACAGCTACCCCGTCAACAGTAGCGTGTATAAGGGTGGATAAGTGGAAAATCTCCTTTAACGGGAGAGGAGACCCCGTAGCGTTCCTGGAACGCATCGAGGAAATTTGCGAGGCCCAGCATATCTCGTTAAACCGCCTGTTATCCCCACTGCCCCAGATCCTAGAAGGAGAGGCGGCATTGTGGTTCCGAAATAACAAAAGGTTCTGGAACCAGTGGAACGATTTTGTTACCGACTTTAAGATACATTATTTTCCGACAAATTACCTGACCGACTTGGAAGCTGAAATCAGCCGCCGGCTGCACCAGCTGCAAGAACCGATAACCGCATACATTACCGATATGCAAACCCTTATTCGCCGCCACGGCGCGATTTCCGCAGAGCAAGAGCTCCAGTGGTTATACAGAAACCTAGCTCCCGAATTTAGACAACAGGTGCGTCGGTCTGACTGCCTAGATCTCCCGTCGTTTACCAAAGCGGTAAAGGAATGCGACACGTTGCGCAAAGAACTGAACCGTTCCTCCCGCAATCAGTTCCAAGGCGCCCTGCCAGTAAACGTCCCGAAACAGCTGCCCGCGCAGGCTATGCCGCCCAGCCAGCAGCCCCGACCCCCCGTCGCCACATCCGCCACCCCGGCGACCGCCCAGTCGCGGCCAGCTACGGCAGGATCAGCAAATTTAATTTGCTGGAGGTGCGGTGAGTCCGGACACACCCGGCAAAGATGCACGAACGAAAGGAGAATATTTTGTTCCCGGTGTCGTAAGGCAGACGTGTATTCCAGAGACTGCCCGTGTCCGGGAAACCCGAACAGGACTGTGTAATGCCGAGGCAAACACAGTACCGCAAGTCCGCCGCCTCGACCCTGAATGCACCGATAAAAGCACCTTCCCTGGCAAGAAATGCACCCGTCTGCCGGCCAACTGCTACTCAAGGGTTACGTCAGCTACCAAAGGTCACAAAAGTGACAGTAGCTGATCCAACACCGTCCCCGTCTACAAGCTTTGTCAGTTCTGTGGAAATAATAACCATAGATCAGCGGCCACATATACCGATTGAGTTTAATAATCAACGGTATTTAGCCCTAATTGACACGGGCGCTGCCTACTCCTATATGGGGGACCGAATAGCTGAACAGTGTGCTGTTCTAGGCTACCCCCAACAAAATGTCAATGCTATATACGTAGTAATGGCCAATGGACAACAAATCCCTATACCGGGAACTTATCCAATGACATTTTCGATAGGCGCCCGCACCGTGTCTGGAACTTTTGGGCACCTGCCCAAATTATCCTCCGATCTACTGATTGGTATGGATTTCCTGACAAAGTTTAGAGTAACCTTTGATTTGGCCCAATGTAGGCTGACGATGTGTTTTCCGGCCCAGGTTGGAGTAATAACCCCGTGCAAATCAGGCACCGATACCGCCGTCCGTAAGGATGAATTGGCAAATACCGAACCGAACCGGAACGAACCGAACCGCACCGAGCTGCAGCGAACCGAACTGAACCGAGCTGCAGCGAACCGAACCGATCCGAATCGTTCCGAACCGAAGGTAGATGCCGAATACGAAATGTCCGAACAAGAAGAAGCTCAGCTTCACGATTTTCTAACCGCCGAACTACCCGCCTTTGAGGATATAAAAGGAACCACATCTCTAGTAAGTCATGAGATACGCCTGACAAACCCCGAACCGATAAAACAGCGTTATCGGCCGCAAAACCCCCGAATGCAAGAGATTATTAACTCAGAGGTCGATAAAATGCTGGCCGAAGGCATAATCGAACCGTCCCGGAGTCCATGGAGCTCGCCAGTAGTTATTGTCCGGAAAAAGGATGGAAAACCCCGTTTTTGTATTGATTTCCAAAAAGTTAATGCAGTAACCCGAAAGGATGCATATCCACTACCGTTTATAAACGCCATCCTGGATAAGTTGCGAGCCGCCCGATATATTTCGAGTCTCGACCTTAAACAAGGTTATTGGCAAATCCCGCTCACTCCCGACAGTAAGCCGATAACCGCCTTTACTGTTCCGGGGCGGGGGCTGTTCCAATTCCGAGTAATGCCGTTTGGCCTACACTCGGCTCCCGCAACCTTTCAGAGGCTGATGGACCGCATAATAGGCCCTGAACTTGATCCGTTCTGCTTCGCCTACCTGGATGACATAATCATCCTGGGCAGGACCTTTCAGGAGCACTTACAAAACCTGAAGGAGGTTTTTAGCCGTCTCCGAGCCGCCGGTCTCCGAGTAAATCCCGACAAATGTCAATTTGGCCGGAAATCACTTAAGTATTTGGGGCACCTGATTACCTCGAATGGTATTCAAACCGACCCTGATAAAGTGAATTCGATCCGGGAACTACCGGCCCCGAAAAATATCCGAAGCTTGCGACGATTTTTAGGCATGGCCTCATGGTATCGTCGCTTTGTCCCGTCCTTTTCCCAGACCGCCGCACCGCTAAACCGCCTGTTGAAAAAGGGACACCGTTGGGCCTGGGAGGCGGAACAAGACAAAGCTTTTGAGCTTCTAAAAAGCAGTCTAACCTCCGCTCCCGTTCTGGCCTGCCCCGATTTTTCAAAACCGTTTGTTTTACAAACCGATGCCTCCGACGAGGGGCTAGGAGTTGCACTGACCCAGAACTCCGCCGATGGAGATCATGTGATTGCCTATGCAAGTCGCACTTTAGCCCCGGCTGAAAAAGCATATTCCGTGACCGAGAAAGAATGTCTTGCCATAGTCTGGGGCATCGAAAAAATGCGCCCTTATTTGGAAGGCTATCATTTTACCGTGATTACCGACCATCAAAGTCTGCAGTGGTTGCACTCCATAAAGAGTCCTGCTGGACGTCTAGCCCGATGGAGCCTGTTTCTCCAGCAGTACGACTTCCAGATAAAATACCGTAAAGGCATACTTAACCGTATCGCCGATGCTCTATCTAGAGACCCCCTGCCGAACGAAATCCCGATCGTGGCCGTTGTGACCATGCCGAATAACGAAACCTGTTCGTGGTATACCCGAAAGCGATTGGAGGTACAACAAAACCCCAATGCATTCCCCGATTACTGTGTCCGTGAGAACCGATTATACCGCCATTTCTGGGTCTCAGGAGATCTGACTGAACCCGAAATGGCCGACCCGTGGAAACTATGTATTCCAAAAGAAACGCGTGTCAGCGTTCTCCAGGAGAATCACGACGCCCCAACCGCCGGACATATGGGTATCGCGAAAACGATCACCCGAATTGCCAACCGATATTACTGGCCGGGTATGTTTCGCGATATCGCCGCATATGTCCGAAAATGTTCGTCGTGCCAGAGATACAAAATTTCCCAGCAGCAAGCACCCGGCAAAATGCAACCGTCCGTAAATCGGAACCCGTGGGACACCGTCTGTATAGACTTGGTAGGCCCACTCCCGAGATCTTCCAAGGGACATTCGTACCTCTTAGTAATGCAGGATAGATTTACTAAGTGGGTGGAATGTCAGCCACTCCGAAATGCCACAGCACGTGCCGTAACCCAAGCCTTATACGAGAAAGTAATAACAAGGTTTGGGTGCCCCCGAACCATAATATCCGATAATGGCACCCAGTTCGCCGGTAAAGTATTTGAGGAACTATTGACCGGACTAGGCGTCCGTCACCGGTTCACTCCACCGTATACCCCGCAAGCAAACCCAGTAGAAAGAGCGAACAAAACGATCAAAACCATGATCGCCCAGTTCTGCGAGTCCGGCCAGAAAAAGTGGGACCATAACCTGCCTGATTTAGTGTTTGCCCTGAACTCCTCCCGACAAGAGTCCACCGGGTTTTCTCCGGCGTTTCTAAACTTTGGTAGAGAACTTGAAGTCCCCAAAGCTACCTACCGAAAACACGATTGTGGAGACACAAACGAACCCGAACCCGAAAGCGCAAATACTAACGCCGACTTAAGGTTACATGCCGACCACCTAGCCCGCATGCAAGAAATATTTGAACTTGTCCGAGTAAATCTAGCCCGAGCATTTACTACCCAGAGTAAGCATTATAACTTACGACGCCGAGAATGGAGGTGCCATTTTGGCGATAAAGTAATGAGACGGGAGGTCCATTTATCCTCCGCCGACAAAGGATTTGCCGCAAAACTTGCCCCGAAATACTCCGGCCCCTACACGGTAACTAAAGTTATTTCGCCCGTCGTGTATGAGCTCAAAGGAGAAACAGGACGAAAGTTAAACCGAATACATATCAAAGACCTGAAACCCGTGCCCAGAAATTAATACTGTTTAAATTTAAAATAGTCCCAGAACACATGCCCCGATTTCTCATACTAACGTTTTGTTTCTTTGTTAACAGAATGTCCGAAAAAGAGAACCGCAGCACCGACACCTTGGTCGCCGACCTAGACCGGGCCGCAAAGGGGCTGGTCTTATCCCCAACGCTGGAAGACTGGGATATGGGGGACCTCCCCATCACCCCGGAACGGCCGATAACCCCTAGGGTTCTCGCACCGTCACCTAGGCCACCAACCGGAACAGCCGCCGGCGTGGCCCTGCCGACCCCAGCGGCCATCTGCCCCTCGGCCGCCGCCGGCGTGGCCCTGCCGACACCAGCGGTCATCTGCCCCTCAGCCGCCGCCAGCGTGGCCCCGCCAAACACCACTGGGGAACCGGCCAGCACTTTCCGACCCCCGACTTCCGGCAGCCGTCCCAGGAGGGCCCTATTTCGGGGGAAAGCTGCGGCGGGGCGCTGCCGGGTGCCCGCGGACTTGGTGACGGCATTCGTGGGTTATCCGAAGGGCATCCGGATGGAGGCGGACGGGGCGTTCCTCCCCGTCGACCTGCCGTCGGGACTCTGCTGGAGGTGCGGGCGTCCCGGCCACGACCGTGCAAGATGCTCAACAAGCTACCCGAGTCTGCGGTACTGCAGCCGTTGTGGACGGGTGGGGGTGCGGTCGGCGGACTGCTGCCGGCGAAGGGAGCGCACCGAAACACCCGCCGCCCGGACCCAAGATGTTGCCGCGCTCGCTCCGATGACGACTCCCGCTCCGATGACGACTCCCGCTCCAGTGGCGACTCCCGCTCCGGTGGCGACCCCCACTCCGGCCGTGGTGCCTGAGACCGGTGCCCTGCCCAACCCCGCAGAATCCGGCACACCCTTTCCAACATTTTGTTGGAGCTGCGGGGTGCGGGTAATCCGCCCCCAATAACTCCGGTGTCAGAGTAAGCGGCCCCGATAAAAAAAAAGAGAATTTTGTGTTATGTTTTTGTTTTTTTTATATATATCTAAGAATAAATTATTTTTTCAGTTAAAACCCCGTTTGATTTCAAAAGAAAAAGAAATAAAATTTCTTTTTTTTTTCCCGAAGTAAGGGGGGGATGTAACGAAGTTACTTTTTCCCTATCCCTACCCTGTGTTACAGAATCCCGATTTAAATGATTTATTTCACATAAGTCATAAACGACCCCGGAATAGCCCATATGTAGCGCCCCACCGGAATGACCCGTAGGACAGTCAAAGCGCACAGCAAAAAACAGCCAGTTTGTTTACTTCTGCCTTTCGACGAAGCGTTTTTATGCCAAGCAGCAACCGAGAGCACCGTAATGTCAAAAGATTTGCCACAACGCCGGGATTGGTCAATCTTGACATCATGCTGGAGGCTCGCGCAGCCGGCCCTAGGAGGGAGACCAGAGGGCATATAAGCGGGCGCAGCGCCTTCGAAGGGATCACTTATCACTTCCCATCAGTGCGGCGAGTACTACGACCGACCGACCGACCGCCACCCGACCGTCCGACTGCTGAAGAATTAAGTAAGTTGTAGTAACTAATTTTCTGTTTGTTTGTTTGTTTCAGAGACTTCCCTTTTATTTTCAAATTATTCTGTGTAAATTCATTTTCCATTTTATTTATTGTTTTGTACATACGAGGATTTATTTTTAATATATGTATTAACCGAAACACATCATTTATTCTTAAATTCCCCGGAACCCTGGAATTTTATCTCCACTGTTGACCCTAAAAGCTACCCTCGCACATAGTGGAACTTCAACCACTTTAAACCCGTTGAAGTTGGCGCTCGAGATTTTATTAGAAAGTCAGCACGGTAAGTGACGCCAAGTTTAAAAAGGAAAGTTTTCCCCAGGGAAATAAAACCCTTTTTACAATGGGAAGTTTCACCCTGTATTTTTCTTTTCAAAAAGAACAACTGATGTTGAAAGTCGATACCACAGCTATGAGCTCGAATGTTTAGCTGTTATTTATGCCATTAAAAGATTCCACATTTATTTGCAAGGACGGAATTTTAAAATCGTCACAGATTGTGATAGTCTGAGACTTACATTAGCAAAAAAGGATATTGTCCCGAGGATAATGAGGTGGGCTATATTTCTTCAAGATTATGACTACACAGTTGAACATCGATCTAACCAAAAAATGAAGCATGTAGATGCGCTAAGCAGAGGTTTTAATATCTTGGTGTTAGAGGAAAACACTTTTGAAGAAACATTGGCGATTAAGCAAGAAAAGGATGAGAGTATTAGGGAAATAAGGAATCGACTGGAAAGACAGCAATTACCATTGTGTGAGATGAGAAATGGGCTGGTTTACCGAAAAAATAATAAAAATCAGTTGTTATTTTATGTGCCTGCAGTCATGGAAAACAATGTAATAAGAAATTACCATGAAAATTATGGACATGTAGGACCTGAGAAAACATGTAAGCTTATTGCTCAAACTTATTATTTTCCTAATGCAAATGAAAAGGTTAAAAAATTTATTGAGAATTGTTTGAAATGCATTACATTTGCTCCAAGTTATGGAAAACAAGAAGGATTCTTAAACAATATACCCAAAGGAAAAGTTCCATTCTACACCATACATATTGATCATTACGGACCATTAGAAAAATGTAAAAATGGAGATAAGTATATATTTTTAGTAGTGGACGGATTTACGAAATTTATAAAGCTGTATGCATGTCGAACAACAAACCACAAGGAAGCAATAAAGCATTTGAAATCATATTTTTTAGCTTATAGTAAACCTAACCGCATAGTCTCCGATAGAGGTTCTGCTTTTACATCAATAAATTTTAAAGAGTTCTTAAGAAATGAAGGTGTACAACACATACTGATTGCAACGGGAGTCCCTAGAGCAAATGGTCAAGTAGAGCGACAGAATAGAACTTTAGGCCCTATGTTAGCTAAACTAACAAATGCTCCAGATGAATGGAATAAAGTGTTAACAACTGCAGAATTTGTAATTAATAATACTGTTAATAAAAGTACCAAAGAAACACCTAGTAAGCTGCTATTTGGGGTTAATCAAAAGGGGAAGAATAGTGATGTTATAGAAGAATTTATGTTGAGAATGAATGAGCAAGAAGAAGAGATTGATTTAGAGGAGATGAGAGAAAAGGCCAAGGAAAATATAGAGAAGAGTCAAAATTATAACAAACAACTTTACGACAAAAGGCATAAAGCACCTAAGAGGTACAATTCCGGAGATTACGTGGTAATTACAAATCATGTGGTTCAACCAGGCGTTAATAAAAAGCTTTTACCAAAATTTAAGGAACCTTATGAAGTAAGTAAAGTATTACCTAATGATAGATGGGCGTTTCTCTGTAAACTGGGCAACTTGAAGTAAGAAATTGTCTATGTAAGTTTTTTTGTTATATTTTTGTTGTACTTAATAAACGTTATTCGAGGAATAAATATCGGTCTATTTATTAGTATACGGCAGATGAACCAAAAATATTCCTTTTACTTTGGAAAACATTGAGCATTTTCTGAAAAATCTATACAGGGGACTGTTTATAAAATCCGGAGACAAAGTTTAGATGACTTTTTTAGAATTACAAAATAATAATTATAAAAAATAAATAAGTCACAGTAACAAGCAAACAATATTGGTTAAATAATTAAACAATTAGGTTAATTCCAATAGTTACTGTCTTTAATTAATTTAGTCTGAAGTGACCATTTTGCTTTGGTGACACGTCAGGGGACTGGTTTTTAAGGACTATAAAAACGATTTTGATACATTAAAGTTTATTTTATTGGATTTTGAACGTCGAGCATAGGTAGATTAGGTTATTACCTTTGAAGTTATCTACGAAATATTTATGATCTGTTATTTTTCTAAACAATATTAGCTTGAGACAATGAGTTGCCCAGTTTACAGAGAAACGCCCAGATATGTTTTGAAAGATATTGAGGGGCACCAAGTCACTCAAAAACCTTTTAATGGAGTAATTGACGCGAGCAATTTGAGACCTTGGCTTAATGATGAAAATTAGTGTTAAATTGTATTGATTATGAATATTATGACTTGTGATTTATGAATTCTGTCCGAAACAAATTTTATCTTATTATTATGTAATGGTTAGTTAGATATGTAATGAAGAAACATTTATGACTTATGTTATAATTTATTTGTGATATATATGTATTATGTAAACTTGTGAAAAGGCTGTTACGTCCAAAGATTTATGTGCAATTTACCCATCTTATGTGATTTTGTTATGAGTCCTTAAAATTAAGAGATTTTGTATTTTAAGATAAGTTATGTTAGTAAGATCGAGGTCGATCTTTGTCAGGTTGGCCGAATTGTAGGAAGAAATATGTTAAAGGTATATATGTTGGTATTAGAATGTCACTAGTTTAGTAACTAGGTAGGTTGGTATGAGAATGCCACGAGTTTTAGTAAGAACAGTTGGTAGACCTGATCGAAGCGAAGAAGTAAGCAAATGTGTACGCTCCCAAATAAACGTTGTTATTTGTAACGAAAGTAGTTTTAAATAACCCAACCCTTACACTATTAAGAATCATTGTTAAGTTGTTAAACATCACGGTTTACTGAAGAATAAATATTTACAAAACGAACGGGCATGAATTTTCTTTCTCTATTTTTTATAATATTTACACAAAAAGTGTTATATTTACTAAGCAGGTATGTACTGTGGAATAATACCAATTTGTTGTTGCTACTAACGCAAGCATTTAATATTAAATATAACTTAGTTACAGTACAAAACAAATTTATATTATATCAACTATTAAATTCTTTAAATGTACCTTTTTTCATGTAATTTCAATTAAAAAATAAATTCCTGCATGATACAATGTTTGTTGCGATAAATAGCAAGTGCAGTTGTTACAACTTAGACGCTGCTAAAATGACAGACTAATGTGATTGCATTAAATATCAATTATTTGTATGAAAAAAAAACTAATTTCGATGCACTTAAACTTGTTGGTTGGAGCTGTTCCGACAACAAACTGTAAAAACAAATTTGTATTGGTTCCCACAACATATTTTTTTGTTGTGCCTATTTTCACTAATAAAATTGGTTCTGGGAACTAAATTTTCATTGCAAATACCAGGTCTTTTCTAAGAGTGCAGGTAATGCTGTGCAGTGGTGGGATACGTAGCAGAACGGAAAGGAGGTAAAATAACCCTGGGAGATTAGTGTAAGGTAATGTCGATGGGGCTTGCCATACGCTATACATAGACAGTAAAAAATATGAATCGAGTAAAGTAGCTAGTGTAGTTGGTAAATATTTTACAGTTGATATTCAGTGTAAAATGCACCAATTATTTAACTCTATAGCAAAATATTACTCTACATAACTCTATATTACATTATTTGACAGTTTAATTTAACTCGAATGTCTAATACAATCGCATTTGTGTTAATTTAGACTTTGTAAAAGGTTACACAATTACACTATAAATTAGTATTTTACAACCGCTATTTCCGTTAAACCTTCCCTAGTTTTCCTCTTGCTAGTGTATTATTGTTTTGGATTAGAGTAAAGTAAACAGTAAGAGAGTATAGTTTTACACTAAAAAGAGTTAAATCTACACTATTAGGGTTATTATTTGTGGTGGGGATTGCAAAGCAAGTCTATAAATTTGTAAACTAGTTTAGTGCTGTTTCCAAGGGCTGTTTAATGGTTCGCTTGTTCGTGGGTCCGATGCATAATACGTATAAAATAGGTCCATTATTTCTTATTATTTATATTAAAGATATTTTATTGTAAAAACTTGAAATGTAATTAGGCATTATGTCTAAAAACGGATAATAACAGAAACGAGCCAATTATATACAAATCCCATTCATGCATAATCGAGTTAATTATATACAAATCCCATTATATAATTAATATAATTATATAATCCCAATTATATACAAATCCCATTCAT